TTTCAAAATGATCGCAAAAAAAAAAATAAAACAAACAACAACTGGACACCCAATTCCGTCTTATATTTGGCACTTCCAAACATTTATCTTTGACATAGCAATCGTAGGTTATTTATAATGCAAGTTTTATATTCATTTTAGTTCACACAATACGAATATCGAGTAAAACACACATGGATAACAGGTGAGGAGGCGGAAGAAAAGAAGGATGGGAAGGGGGAGAAGTAAAAGAAGTAGAAAAAGAAGAAGAAGAAGAAAAAGAAGAAGAAGAAGAAGAAGCAGAAGAAGATGATGATGATGAAGAAGAAGAAGAAGAAGAAGAAGAAGAAGAAGAAGAAGAAGAAGAAGAAGAAGAAGAAGAAGAAGAAGAAGAAGAAGAAGAAGAAGAAGAAGAAGAAGAAGAAGAAGAAGAAGAAGAAGAAGAAGAAGAAGAAGAAAAATAAAAAAAAAATAAGAAGAAGAAGAAGAAGAAGAAGAAGAAGAAGAAGAAGAAGAAGAAGAAGAAGAAGAAGAAGAAGAAGAAGAAGAAGAAGAAGAAGAAGAAGAAGAAGAAGAAGAAGAAGACGAAGACGAAGAAAAGAAGATGATGAAGAAGAAGAAGAAGAAGAAGAAGAAGAAGAAGAAGAAGAAGAAGAAGAAGAAGAAGAAGAAGAAGAAGAAGAAGAAGAAGAAGAAGAAGAAGAAGAAGAAAAAGAAGAAGAAGAAGAAGAATAAGAAGAAGAAGAAGAAGAAAAAGAAGAGGAAGAAGAAGAAGAAGAAGAAGAAGAAGAAGAAGGAGAAGAAGAAGAAGAAGAAGAAGAAGAAGAAGAAGAAGAAGAAGAAGAAGAAGAAGAAGAAGAAGAAGAAGAAATCACAGCGACTATCAGTATTTGATCTGAATACTTTTAAGTTGGCTATAGTCTATGTTTTATTGAAAAAAAAGTAGATAATAGAAAAATAAAAAAAAAAATAAGTTGAATAGGGCTGTGAACAACAAGTTCTAAATAACTGAAACACACATTTACACATACCCTAAAACTATCTCACGTTATTTAATAATTAATAATACTAATACAGTGAATTATTTCAACAGGTCAGTGTAATGACAGGACACGCGAGACAGACTGGTCTGATTCCCGGAAGTGATACGATGTCTGGAGTGTCCAAGCGTGACTATCCTTGAATGCCATGATTGACGACCGGACGCCGGATCCATCGTCTGTGTTCAGCGCCCCACAGATACATCCGACTGATAATTCCGGCATACGACGACATCAATACTGTAATTTGAATACACAGAGTAATAATACTGGGTATTTGGAATCATATAAACATCAATGTCATCATATTGAAAGACCACATCATGCAAGTCAGCACAAAATAGTACTGAAACATCAAGATCATCAAACCGATAGGCAAAATCATCAAAATCAAAAAGAAGTATTCCTGAAACATCAGTGTGATGATTTTCAAACAGAGGATACTTTGTTTCATCATAAAAGTATACCAAATAATCCTCATGATAAATTAGTACCACAAAAAGGTACTTTCAAATATACCATCCCACGGAATCATTCCTTTGAGTATACTAAATTAAAAACAGGTAATTGTGATAAAATTATAATACATAATCACTCCAGCGAAAGACCTGTAGTTAAGAAAACCCTCTGTGAATTGAAAAAATATCCGCACATATATCTTGCTAATTATTTGTGTAGAATACATAACTCAAAATGTGATTTACATCGTTCTATATCCACTTTTCAACGAGTTATACTTTTTATTAAACTAATCGTCGGCTCCGCACGTCAATGTTTCCCGCGCAACTTCCCATTATGTGCCACGCTGTTTTTGTCCATTCTAGTCCTCCAAATAACCTCAACCTCATCAGCAGCATCTGTGCCTGTTATATCATCATCGCCGTCAAATTTACAACTAAATATTGGGATCCTGGTGGCAGAATCCAGCGATGAATCTTTCATCACGCGACTACGGCAGGATTCCAATAAAGCAATCGAAGACTTCAGAAACTTTATCCAGCTAACAGAAGGAGTTTCGAACCCAACTCCGCTGCAAGTAAACTGCGAAATTTTCTCCTTCAACAGCACGCGAAACGCACTGTCAAACCTAGACAAGATCTTCAGCAATGCATCAATTCACGCTGTTCTAGGCGTGTCCACGTACGACATGCATAGTTCTCTTATCCTACAAGCCGAAGTCTTTGACAAAGCCTACTTTCCAGTAAACTCGTTCATTTTTACTCTGACAAAGACCCAGTCCAGGAGCTTTGCACCGACGTTCACACAGCGGGGTAAAATGTTGGCTGTAATACTGGATACGTACAAGTGGCAGAAGCTGCATATTATCTTCTCCAACCACAACATCTGGCAAGATTTTGCAACTCATTTATATCTCGTGATGACTTCCCTCGACTTTAAGGTGACTCTGGGCAAAGCTGTGTCTGTTCCCATCACAGTTGAAAGCGCACACATACCACTGAAGGATGTAGGACAGGTGAAAGGTAAGGTACCAAATTACGCTTCTTCTATTTTTTGTCGTCTTATTAATACCAGGTTGTAGCCCAGTGTCGTGGTTTTCTGTGTTTGTCTTGCGTTTTTTGTGAGGCTTAGGTATTTTTTTTTCTTTTTAATAATCCAGAAGCCATGAGTTGTTAACCCTTAGGCTCGGTATTATGGATATCGCAACATTCGGCCTTGATTCCACGATAAATACCGTAAATCTGGGAGAAATGTGGCTTTTCTGCCTATCCCCGGGCGTGAACCCGGACCACAAGGAGTTCGTCACCCGGTCACCGCGCAGTCCGGTATAGCCAACAACGCTAGCGAGACGGGCAGACTTGAGTAACAGATGTGTTCATCGTTTTGCAGGTTTCAGCTTCACCGTTTATCCATCTCATTTTTTCGCCTTTCTCTCCCTTCCTCTTATATATTATATTGTACAATGTCTCATATGCAGTTTGGTCTGGTTGCATTCTCACTAGATGGCTGAACCATTTCATTCTTTGTATGTCAGTATTATCCAGGCAAGGTCTTATTCCAACTTTCTCTCTAATGTTGGTATTAGAGGTAAGATACCATGTTAAATGAAATCACATATATTTCATGCCAAGCTACACTTGTGCATTCCATACAAATATTTGGGAAAAAGGGGTGGGAGATAGACTCTCAAGCATGTCGTAGTGTTACAATTTACAATCAAAGTGTGCCGTAAAAGACGAATAATTAGATATTTTTCTGACATCAGATGTAAAAGGTGAAGATATCGCAATTAATAATGTAATGTTAACAGCTGCGGGATTCACAAGGAGAGCAAAACAACAATTTTGGTCAGGTGAAACCAATAAACGATTGACGAGATGGTTAGCAATGACAAGGAACCATTCATACTGAAATCTAAGTACCCGTTTTGGCATAATGGTTAGTCTTCTTCGCTTTTGTACTCACGTGTTGTAAACCCCAGCAGAAATTTAGTCTTGATCCAATACTGGAGTTTTGTTTGCACATCTGTTTTACAGACGAGGCTTTTATGTATGCAGACTTCTTGTTCCGTACCTCTTAGAATGATGCTTACTGACTTTGAACGAAACACTCATAATCAGTCGTCGCCTAAGACATGCTTGTAAGAAAAAAAGGAGGCGGGGGGGGGGGGGGGGGGGGGGTCGTTCAATTATTTGTTCTCCAAAATAGAGCCCGAAACCCCCAAATGGACGAACCGTTAGTGAGTTTGTCTGCTTTAGTCAAACAGAATCACTAATGTAGGGCTTTGGGAGGGAACTAGACAAGTTCCAGAGGACCGAAAGGTGAAGAAAAAGACGACGGCACTGGATAGGACACGCATTGTGAACACGAGAAAATTATAACTAGTCTGTCTGTACACTGAAATTCACAGGGGTTTTGAAATGAAAACCATAAAACACATGGAAAAAGGATTTAGAGAGTAAAGCTAAAACTATGGGGAGGGGCATAAGGTGAGCTGCGTGTGATGGCGAAAGATAGAACGACTTATCCTGAGTTGGTTGAGGGCCTATGCCTCATTAGGACAAAAAGGGGAGTGGGGGGGGGGGGAATAAAAGGCAGGAAAAAAGTCTTACTGGTAGAACAGGATTATTTTTTGAATAATTAACGCCCTAAAGAACTGAAGACTAGTTAGTGTTCTTCAATCACTGGGTCACTGAGAAGTCCCCGTGGGCCGCAAAACAAATCTGCTCTATCATGTAACGAGGTATGGTAGGTGATTTTTGTTTTCCATTTGTGTTAAAAATACTTTCTCTGCATGTTAATCGAAAAAAAAAATAAAAGAAAAATTGAGAAATCGATTTAATGTGACTGCAACGCTTCTCCATCAGAAACAACGCTCAAACTACACGTAAACTGTTATCTTACCTTTAAGCAGCCACAGGCCCACAATTAGCTGAAAATAGTAATTTTATGACAAGGGATTTAGCAAATAAACAGCTAACTAATAATTTTTTGTGTTTGGTTAGATATCTGGTGGACCGCGAAACAATTTCAACTGTCGTAGTGCGCCGCTGGTGTAAAACGTTTGAGAAACACTGCTCCAGACTTCACCATATAAAGGCATTTATGTCAATTTTTCAGACTACTCAAATGCCGTTCCAATATGGGACGCACTTTTATTTTTGTTTGCTTTTTCAATGCTCCACTCCGGCTTTTGTCAGAGCCCTAATATAACCTAACGGTTGAACTGGGTTATTGGGACTTGCGCCCCGGGGATTTCTCATCCGAATGGTGGTACTTTGTGTCACAGAGTGTTTATCGTTCGTTGTGCGGTGTTGGTGGGGTTGAACTTCATTTAGTTTTTAGACTTAGACGACGTCAGTTTAGGGTTTCGAACTTCACGGGAAACGATCACCCCAGAATTGATAAGTTTCTGTCTTTTTCTTCACTTCCTCTTGTACCGCTTCGAATGTCGATGGTGATATATCAGGTTCCGGTTTGGGCTCTTCTGGTTGTCTCGTCCAAAGGCCCGTCGTGGTGTTACTAAGTTTCCCTCATGTTATTTTCTCATCTCTTCTTTTCCCTTAGCCTTGATCGGCTTGTAAACTCTAGCGGAAACTGATTGCTTGCCTATTTCTCGAGCTTGTTACAGAACCTTAACTTTGATGCCTGTTAAATACCTTAAAACTCCAAGTTCTGCTTCTTTCTTCTGTTGACACAACTTCTGTTGTGTCAGTGCTGATTATCTTATTTGTTTTACATTTTGTTTCATTCAGAGATGTGAGGAGTTGTGGCAGTTTCATGCATGTATCCGGTATCAAGGCTTTGGTCATCAGCAAATAGTAGTTCGTTGATGTCATAATATTTTGGTTCTTAGGCTTAGTATATTTGCATATACTAGCTATCACGAACTACGTTTGGGATGTAGTTGTCGCGAGCTACGGTTGTGGTGTAGCTGACACTAACCAAATAGATCCAAATCGATCCTTAATTGGCTTTTGATGAGGAGACACGAGGGTTGCGTCCTCCAGCTTGGTGGTTGCTGGGGTCAAAAGGGGTTAAGGGGTGAGGGTGGGAAGGAGTCTTTTTGTAAATCAAGCATATGGTTCTGTATAGGTTATCTCAAAATATATTTTAATTACGCAGTACTTTTTATCTCCTTATCTTTATGGAAGCGATTTATTTGTTCTCATTAGTGAATATATTGTAACCAATATGAATTCATAAATAAAATATTAAAAATATAATTCACCTTTTGAATAAAACGTTAAAAGAGAAAAGGCTAATATTTGGAAGAGAAGGATCCTTCTATTATAAAATCAGATAACGTTACTTCTGATAATTCATTTGCTGATAGTTTATCAGCCTTTCCCGACGATTAACCAACACTCTTTTATTTTTAAGAATGTATCCAGCCTTGCTGTGTTTGCTTTCTTTGTTAAATTTTTCGAAAGTGTCCAAACATATCGTTATCAAATGAATTGATACGCTTATTAACTTTAGCTATGTTTGACTGCCATTTCTCGATTAAAACTTTCTAAACCTTAGATTAATTTCAGCCCTCTTAGAACCGACCGATCGTCTTCTTTTTCCTCGTCTCATGGCTCGCTAGCCTCGACGGATGAGGGACGAATATTGTTTTTTTTTCCGGGCGAATATCAAACAAACATTTTTACCCCCCCCCCCCCCCACCCCCCAGCCAAAAAAAGACGAATGTTTTAAAAAGACGAATATTGGTGTGGATGAATATTAGAGTTCAACTCATCAACATCATGTGCCCTGCCAATTGGCGTAGGCACTCATGCGTCTCCACAGATCACGACCCCTGGTTGCCTGCAATAGCTCTTTTGATGATATCCCTCCATCGTTTTAGCCCATCCAGCGTCATCTCTCTTGGTCTGCTTCTACCAGTTTTTTTCACTGATCTTTTCAGTTGTCACGACGTTCTCCAATGTCTCTTTTCTCATTATGTGGCCAAAGAACAGTGTTTGTCTCTTTCCTATTGTTGTATATAGAGATCTACTCTCATTATCTTTTTTCAAGCAATCGTTGTTTATTACTCTGGTCGCATAGGGGGGCCGAGTTAGCGCAGTCGATAAGAGGCTCGCTTTCAAATCCAGCTGCGACTCGCTGCAACCCACGGTCGGTGTTCGAAATCGGGGCGGTTCCCGGGGTTCACCCAACCTCTAGGAAATGGGTACCAGAGCTGACACTCTGGGGTAAATGGAGGAACGTCGCTGTAGCTACAGAGTTACGTGCGGACGGCGACACAGGCGGACAATTCTTATCAACTGTCCGTACTGGTGGCAAAGCACTTATGGTTTATAACCGTGGGCAATGACGCTGGTTCACATCTCTCGACTTTACCTTTACCTTACTCTGGTCGTAGTGTTCCACTACATTGAAAAAATCATTTAGCAAACATTGTCGTTGTGGTTGACATGAGAGGACCAGCTACGTCCCATGTGTGGCCTATCCACTTTCAAATAAATCTGGTTCCATATTTAGAAGACCTGAGAGCCACCTCTCACAACCTGGGAGATTTAGCTGATAAATCAGAGCATTGGCCACTAAGCTTCTACAGGGCACACACTTCTTAGAAACTTTAAAACATGAGGGCGCACCCACACAGACACACTCACAAACAGAATAAGAGAGAGAGGCACACACAGAGTGAGTGAGACAGACAGACAGACACACACACACACAGAGTGAGATAGAGAGCGACAGACATACACACAGAGTGAGAGAGAGAGAGAGAGAGAGAGAGAGAGAGAGAGAGAGAGAGAGAAAGACAGACTGACAGGCAGGCAAACACACACACACACACTAACAAACAACGATTATTAGTTACGTTTTCAGCAAAGAAAGAGATCAGGTACAACATTTGTTATTTTGGTAGCACAATAATCCACTGATTGATTCACCACTTCCGCTATTGTCACTATCATCATCCTCATCGTCATCCTCATCCAGTTGTGCCGTGTATAGTCTACTTAATACTCGCAGTCGACGATTCCACTCATTTGCTTTTTAAACTAGT